ATATTATTAAACGTTTATTTACTGTTGTACTTACTTTTTCTTATACAATATTTGCTTTTTTGGAAGAACTTTTCAGGTTTTTTTTCTATGGAGAGTTAGCTATGTTTCTTTTGAATAAAGGTAGGGGAGAGGCTTGTACCTTGGGCCAGCTTGTACCATGGGCCACCCCATTTTGTTTTTAATTTGGCGCGCGAACTCTCTCTGTTTCTTATGTCAAGCTCTTCTAAAATCGTCGTCATTCTGTGGTTAGTTGTTGAACGTCACCAGAAATCATTTGCGGCTGTCTTAAAAATGTAGTGAATTATTTTGTGAAAAATAAGTATTTATAGGGTAGATAATTTTCTTGTTTAGTTTTTGTGTTAACCGATATGGTAATTAAATCACAGGGTGTGGATGCTTATTCTAACAGGTACTTAAACAACATAGTGAGAAATATAACAAAACAGTTTTTTTAGGTTAAATTCATATTCGTTTTCTTTTCGGCCGAGTCTTGTACCTTGGACCACTATCCTTTCTTGTACGTTGGGCCGCGGCCCAAGGTACAATCTCTTGTAGGTGGATAAATAAAAAAGTAAAAAGAGCTCCGACAGATCATGAAAACCTACTAAAAGCATACAATGTAATTCAAGAAAAGCAAATATCTGTCCGATTAGCTGCAAAGGCATTCCATGTTTCACGAACGACACTTCTAAGTTGGTCCGTGGTCCCAACAATTTTCTCTCTTATGGTGCTTACGCAGTCCGAAAAGTGTTTTCCACTGAAGACTTATGTCAGTATTTAGCTCAAGCGAGTCATATGCATTATGGACTTTCACGTCGCTCTTTGCAAACTTTAGCATCTGAATACGCTAAAGCCAACAATACGACAGTCCCACCGTCCTGGAATAATAATTATCGTGCCGGAAAAGAGTGGTTCCTTGACTTTATGAGCCGTCATAAGCAACTTAGTTTAAGAAAGCCACAAGCCACTAGCCTATCTCGCGGAATAAGCTTCAACAAACATAATGTCTCATTATTTTTTTTTTCAAAATTAAAAGAAGTCATGAATAAACATACTTTCACCCCCAGTAAAATATACAATATTGATTAGAGTGGTAACACTAATGTTCACGTTCCTGGAAAAATTGTAGCTTGCAAGGGTATAAAACAAGTTGGTTCTGTTACAAGTCAAGAAATGCTGTCCCCCCTATGTACATATTTGCCCGAGTGAATTTAAAGCCCTATATGCTGAAAGGTGCACCTGCTGATTTGGTGGGAACGGCTCATCCCAGTGGTTGGTCCAATGGAGTCATATTCTTGAAATATTTAAGGCATTTTATACATATCACAAAGCCTTCCGTCGATGATAAAATATTAGTAATATTTGACAATCATGAAACTCATATTACCCCCAAAATCATCAACTTAGCTAAAGAACATGGGATCGGATATTGACTATTTTACCTCATATGAGCCATAAGCTCCTACCCCTCGATCGCAGTGTTTTTGGCCCATATAAAACTTATTATAACAACGCGTGCACCGAAGAGATGATAAGAAACCCAGGAAAACCAATATATATTTACGATGTCGCTGAAATTTCTAGTCAGGCATATAAACTAGCATTTAATCGCAAAAATATTGAATCTGGATTCAGAGTTTCAAGGATCTGGCCAGTGAATGAAAATGTATTTCAAGAAAACGAGTTCTATAGTTCTTCGGTCACTGATAGAGATAATCCTGCATATCAATGAAGACATTTATTTCAGGCCCCCTATTAATAATCCTAAAATCACTGCTGAGACTGAAGAACCTGAGCTACCATACCTGGTCCAGGTCCATAGGTCCACAGGACCATACCAAGTCACCAGAGGTAGTCCGCCCTTTACCTAAGGCACCTCCAAGAAAACATACAAAAAGGTCGTAAAAGAGGCAAGTGTCGTCTTAACTGATACACCTGAGAAAAATGAAATAGAAAACGAGCACGAGGACAGAATGAACAAAAATATGAAGAAAACAGCTGTGAAAAGAAAAGTTATGGACACCTGAGAGAATGGTTTGGATGCAGCTCAAAACAACTATTTAGAGCTACTGCCTCAAAAATTAAGATAGCTATGATGATTGCCAACCTCCGTAGCGGAGATGGCACCTGAAGAAGAAGAAGATGGACACCCAACCGAGAAAGTATCATTTAACAGGTAATAAAATTAAAAAGACTAAACCAGTATTTCCCCAATCGAAGGATCTCAACAATTCATCATCTCCTGATAACGACGTCGAAAGCACCCCCTACGATGATAGTTCGGATCCGTCTTTTTATGTTGCTAAAATAGTATATTTAACTCCAACAATAATGGTTAATTACCTGAAGAGAATCTGCTTATCTGAAAACTTCTGCCTGATTGATATAAAGGCATATGAAATCGAAAAGAAAGACATCATTGAAAGCGTCGTGGAAGTTCCCAAGAAAGATGGATCTTCAAAACGTCAACAGAATATTTATACTTTTAACTTGGATTTGAAAAGTATTTGCTTAAAATGGTCCTTATTCTAAACAAAACTTAATAAAACAAATATTAAAAGGATTTTGTTTCTATGTAACTTTAAATGCGTCTGTTAATTATTAAAATAAAAGTTTTGGTAATTATGTTTACCAGTGACCCAAGGTGCAATCTTTGGTGGCCCAAGGTATAATACGTATTTACCTTGGGCCAATTATAGGCGTTCAGGATTTTTTTTCTTTTAAGAAAACCAACTCATGTAATCAGTTGTTATTTTTATTTTACATACTATCTAATTAGCCTTTTTCGGTCCATCTTTGGACATAGGCCTCCCCAATCCTTTTCCATTCTTCTCTGTCTGTCGCTACAGTCATCCATCTAGAGCCCACGTGCTTCTTGATATCATCTGCCCATCTCATTTGGGGCCTTCCTCTGCTTCGTTTATATTCCCACGGTCTCCAACTTATAAGAATTTTCTTCCATCGGTCTTCTTTTTGTCTTATATTGTGTCCGGCAAATCTCCATTTCAATTTTGCAACTTCTTGTCTAACATCCCTCACTTTTGTTTTCTCTCTTATCCACTCGTTTCTCTTCTTATCCATTAGTCTTATGTGCAACATTTGTCTTTCCATTGCTCTTCGGGTTTTTATGATTTTGTCCATGTTTGCTTTTGTAAATGTCCACGTTTGGGAGCCATACGTAAGAACAGGGAGTACGCATTGATTATATACTTTGGTCTTAAGATGCTATGGATATCTTTTGTTTTTAAGAATGTAGCTCAGTTTGCCAAATGCCGCCCATGCCAGTCTAACTCGTCTCTTGATCTCTGCTGTTTGGTTCTCTTTGTTAAGTTTTATAGTTTGACCAAGATATATATAATCTCATTGTGATGTCTTCATCTGTATTTGTTATAGTTTTGGTCTTGCTGTAATTCATATTAAGGCCTATCTTTCCAGCTTCTACGTCCAGTTCTTTCATCATTTCAAATAATTCTTCTTTTTTATCGGTTATCAATACGATGTCATCAGCGTACCTTAGATGGTTCAAGCGTTGTCCACAAATTTTTATACCTTTTTTTTCCCATTCTAATCTTTTAAAAGTATCTTCAAGAGCCTGATTGAAAAGTTTCGGTGATATTGTATTACCCTGTCTCACGCCTCTACTTATTTGTAATGATTTTGTTCCTTCATATACTTTAATTGTTGTTTTGGCTTCCTTATATATATATATATATATATATATATATATATATATATATATATATATATATATATATATATATATATATTGGTTATTAGTTCCGTATCTCTGTGGTCAATTCGGCTGTTAATCAAAGAACTTTTCACTGCCCAATGTTCGACACTGTCGAAAGCCTTTTCGAAATCTATGAACGCCATATATAGAGGAATGTGTTATTCATTTGCTCGTTCTATAAGTATTTTCATACTTAGTAAATGGTCACTTGTGCTGAATCCCTTTCTAAAACCAGCTTGTTCTTTCGACTGGTATCCATCGAATTTTGTCGTCAATCTATTGGTTAAAATTTTTGTTAGGAGTTTATACATTACATTGAGGAGTGTTATAGGACGGTAGTTTTTTATATCTGCTTTATCCCCTTTCTTGTGTAGGATAATGGTTACTGATTCCTTCCAGTTGTTTGGGATTCTTTTTTCTTTTAATATCCTGTTAAAAAGGGAATGTAGAGTATTAATTACCACTTTTCCACCATATTTCAGCATCTCTGTAGTTACTCCATCTTTTCCAGGCGATTTGTTGTTTTTCATTTCTTTCAATGCCTTCTTTATTTCTGATTTGCTTATTTCGGGCTGCAGCTCTGAGTTGACATTTTTTATTTTGACCTTAAGTTGGTTTTTAATTTCTTCTGGTGGTTCCTTTTTTGTTTTATATAATTCTGAGTAGAAATGGTGGATTATATTTATGATGTCATCTTTAACGTTTGTTTCTATTCCATTTACATCTTTTATTTGGTTTATTTCAAACTTACCTAATTTAGACCTTAAGCATTTCATATTTTTGTTGTTTTGTATTACTTCTTCTATTTTTATTTCTTGTTATTTTTGTAATTTGTTGTTATTTTACATACTACAATAGTTTATATCTGCCCTAGTGTCAATTTTAAAAATATAAATTCAATATTGTATTTGTAATACCTGTTTAAAAAAATCCCAAGGTACAAGCCTCTCCCCTATTACCATTATTTCTTATCTTAAATGGTTATAAGAGGATCAATTAATGGCATGAAAAAAAAATGAAAGAAAACTGCTAGAAAACATTCTGATTTTCTTAAAAATTAGGATTTATCAAGCCCCATATAAATACTGATAAAGATGAAGTTCATTGTATAAGACGCAGGGCTAATGATACATAGGAGTATGATTTTCCGCAGAATTTGCCCAACCCTGTATATATCAATATGTAAGGTGCTGATGAGAACTATATAAATTTCCCCGAGTTTGAGTTGTGTATTTGCAAGAGATTCGTTAACCGTTCCGTCCATCGGTCTATCTCTACCTGCTTTTGCTTAGTCCACTCCGCGTGTAGCTGTGATTTGGATCGACATAGAACAGATGAAAAGTTTCTCCAGCCGTGGCGTGTCAGTTTGTTTCGTTTCATTCGTCTCGTAAGTAGGAATTGTACACTGTTGGCAACACGGCATAGAATTCGTTTCGTAGGTACGTTCACCTTTTAGAAAATAGGTATTAAACTAGAATTACCTAAATAATTAAATGTGGAAATAATTGACATCATCCTAAGTGCTAAACAGTGCTAAAGGGATTACCTAACCTCGGTTTAAATGACAGAAAGGTATGTACATTTTATTTTTATTTAATACTTTACTAAATAAAACAGACTGGTACCTTATTCAGACAGTACACCTTTGTTTATTTTACAATTCTCCACTGTTGACAATTATAATTTTAAATAACCCATAACAGATCTTAAATTGGAAGAGCCTGTATTTATTTTTATGTGCATTGCCTAGGTAAATATGTGGTATGTGGTGTGCAAGATATCAAGGTCATATAACATTTTGTTCAAGAATGTCAAATACCTAGGTAAAAACTACAGGAAATTGTATATAGCTAGTCTTACTTTTTTGCAAGAGAGAGAATTACGTAAATGGTAAAATTGTAATTAAAGATAGGTGTGTTCAAGTCCTTTGCTAAATCACACAGATCACTAAATACTATTTTAATTATAGATAATGTATGTACTAGCTCAATGGTATTGGAAGCATAACAGTTTTTTTATTTATATAAAGGCAGTACTCCTACAGTTTGTTGTTAATTACCAAGTTGTTTGTAAATCACTAAGTGAGGTCTGGGTATCTATTTTTGGAGGTGTATGTATACTTACATACTTGCCATAAATGCAGTGAGCTTTCTATTTACAGGAATTTTATTTGATACTGTGCAGTTACAATTATTGCAGAATATACAGTGTAAATTCCAAATAGTTTACAGTTATTTTTATACTGTCATAGGTAATTAGGGTAAAATATTTCTAGATCAGTTATAAATAATCCACAGATCATCATTGTTTTGATTGTAAGTGCAGTATCACTACAATACTTTTATTTGTGTCATTCAGTGACAAAGAAAATATTTAATCTAATTAACATTTATGACTGCTATAAAATATAATATTATAACAATTTTGCTAACATTTCAAAGACATGTAAACACAATGTGACATTATTATTAATACAGTTTTATACAGACTGATTATATTAAAAACTTTTTATAAAGTTTTTATTTACTTGGTTTACAAGAAACATTAAAATAGTTAAAATTCTAGCATGAACAGGAAAAGCTTTTTGTTAACCTGTTTGTTTTAACATAATGTTTTAGTTACAATTATTTAAAGGCCAAGGTAAGGCTAAACCAAAAACATACCAAATCAAAAAAGTAAAATTAATACAAAAAACTGTTGATGCAGTGCATGTGTAAGTTACATTCCTTATTTACATATGGAACTAAATAAGATAAGTGAACCAACAGAGGTATTTTAAGAACAATATATTAAACTAATCAGAATATAGTATAATAATAATAAAAATATAGACTTTAAAATAAAATTTAGTGATCTAATTAATTATGCAAAATAAACCAGTGCATTTTAAATATAAATATTTAGAAAAATCTTAAGGGTGTCTAGAGTGTACAAAGTTCATTATGTAAAAAATTTTGCCAAGTGTGTTGCCAAGTTGCCAAAAGTGACACCAAGTCAGAATCACCAAACTTTTTTACTGAAAACCTTAATCACATTCTGGAGCATTTTTATTGAAGTATCTTGATCTAATATATATGCTTAACTTCTATCAAGCGATCCATATCTTTAATAATTTTAAGTTGAGTGTAGTAGAGTGTTGAACATGGCCTAGTGTTTCAATTGAGCATAGTCCAGTGTTTCAGTTGAGCATAGCTGAGTGTTTTAGTTGAGCATAGCCGAGTGTTTCAGTTGGGCATATAGGCTATTAAGTATGCTCAAAAAATAGAGCTAAAAGGAACTATAATGTTAAATTGGTTTTTATTTTAAATTGGTTAAATTTAATTTTGAACAACTTTTCTGTAGATGAATATGTACGAAAACTGCATAAAATTCACCCAAATGCCCCCCAGTGCACACAAACAAATTCACCCCATTTTTTAAAAACGCACCTCTTTAAATTGTAGCACTCTGCAGTTTTTCGTATTTGGGAGTCCATTTGTAGTTCCTTTCTAAACTTCATAATCAGTAGCCTAATATCTTAGCTTTGAATATAGCACAGAAAATAGAAACATTTATTAAATAATAGTTTTTTGCATTGGAAAATGTTTACTTTAACATTTATGTCAGAATTTTTATCCAACAGATTGATATACATACTTTCAGTATATAGAACCACATCCATGAACATATTCTATGTGAAAATAATTAAATTTAAAACCTTCCCCTTCTCCATCTCCTTACTCCAATTTCTTTAAACCTACACATCTTGAGTTAATAATAAGTTAATAATAAGTGGCCTACCCCTCTTAGGCGGTTTAAATTTGAAGGTTTTCGCCATATCTGCATCACCAAAAAGTCTATAGAGTTCGAAATTACATCGCCTTCTCTACTGCCGCCGCCATACATGGTTCTCAATCCTTTTCTTTCAAATATTCATAGTAACTTTTCATCTCGGGTTGCCATTGCCCATGTTTTCAATCCGTATGTGAGCACTGGGCGTATTATTGTTTTATAAAGTTTGCATTTTGTTGCTCTTGACATATATCAAGAGGCCTTAGTTGATGTCCTAGACTAAAATAACAGCGGTTAATCACGCATATTCTTTTTCTTTTTTCATTGGATGTGTTGTTTTTGCTGTCGATCGCCCATGACGCAACTGTTTTAAAATACCGGTTGAAAACTAGTTAAAAGCCAGTTTCACCTCGTGGGTGAATCCCCGTGCATTTACACTGCCAACGCTAAAAAAATAGTTGTGAGTGCAATCGATTTCGGACCGTAGTTTTAAAATAGTTGCACCTTGGACGCTCGACCTATTGACATTTGCGTAACGTTCCAATCAAAAGCGATTTGTAGGCAAATTATTAACCTAATCTCATCGATGCCGAAAGTTACGAATTCGTAATATTATTATTAATTCGTCGTAATATTTCTACTTAACTATACGGCATGGAAGCGTGGACAATAAAACAGTCTGAAATCAAAAAATTAAACTCCTTTGAGATGTGGTACTATATATGGATAGTTCATGCTTATCACTATAAACAGTCGTAAATTGAAGATTGAACACGTGTTGTAAACGTTACGATTTCGCTACATTCGGCGTTATAAAGTCAAGTAACTAAAATAGTTCAAAATTGATGCAGCTGTGTTTTATGGACAAGAACGGCATCAAGCCATTGACATACCAAGTGATAGTGATGTAGGTGTTTCTGATTCTGAAAATGAAAGTGATGAATGGGTAATAGAAGAGGACTCTGGTGCTGAAATTGAGGAAGACCTTATTGGTGATGGTTAAGAAATAATAAAAGAACAATGTAAGCGCAATATGAATGAATATACCGATATAACAGAAAAAAACAATACTGACAGTGTTACTCCAATGTGGAACTACATCTTACCAAAAGCTACTTCTATAAAAGACCCCATAGACTAATTTTTCGACGATGATTTTCTAAATTTGATTACTTACCAATCGAATTTATTTGCCGTTCAAACAAATCCCAATAAACCTCTGGGATTGACAATAAGAGAGCTAGAACAATTTGTGGGTACAATATTTTATATGTCTTTGATCAAACTTCCAAAAACTCGATTATATTGGAGTTCTAAATTTGATTTTACTACAGTTCCTGAAATAATGGGTCGAGACAGACGGGAAACGATAAAAAAACATATACATTTCTCCAGTAATACCAAAATTGATCCGTCAAACTTAGATAAACTGTACAAACTCCATTCCTAGGTATGTGAATCTATTCACATGTTCTATATCATCAATAAAGTGTTATTGCGCCGGTCTATTTAATCTGGTTTGTATGAGTAGTTTTGTTTTATTTGTATTTATTGCCTACTGCTTCTGCACCCTGTTTCAACTCAACGTAGGTTTCTTCCGCTGCATTCACTGTTTTGCTCATTATGTTTATATCATTTGCGTATGCTGCTAATTGAGTAGATTTGTTTATTATTAAATCTACCCGAATGAAGCCAAAATAGACATTTTGGCTTCGATTCTTCTGTGGTTGTACATAAGGCTAAATGTCAAATTTGTCAAAACTTCTTGTAGAGTCTTTGTTGAATTTGGAATGTTAGAATTGTAAATAACAAAGAAATTTATTGATGTAACATTTAAATGGGTGTAAAAAACAACCATAGGCCATCTTCTACCACAACGTGTCACATCATATTGGTCGCATAATTTATCTGCGGTATCAATACCGCTTTTTTTGCTGTTATGTCGTAATATGATTTCCGGTTTTCCAGTTACAGGATCAACGTCATCCCCATGGTGCATAGTTAAATATAACAGAACGTTTTTGTTTTTGTTTTTTGGTTTATATGACACTAGTGTTCCTCTTGAACCAAACCCAAATGTACTAGATCCAATAGGTCATCATTTATTGTTAGAGAAATATGCAGGAATCGCTCTTCTATTTACTTTTATTGTTCCCAAGAGAGTTAAACCATTTTCCTTCAAGCCTATACCAAGATCAACGCTGGTGTACCAATTGTCGGTGGTAACATTTCTCTTAAATCCGTAAAGATGTTGACAGGTCCGTTCCGCCACTGCCTTAGTACTAGTATCTAGATAATATGGACCACCCACTTGGTTTTTGCCAACGTATACTTCCATGTTATTGGTATAAAATAATATCACAATCAGACAGTACAAATATTTTTATACCGTATCTATTGAATTTGCTTGGTATGTACTGGCGGAACGAGCACCGTCCTCAAAAAGCCTAAAACGGTTCTCCACGGTTACGTATTACGAATGAGAGAAACATTTTTTCTGATTTTCGTTCCACTTGGTAATAAGATCTCTTATTGGCACTAATTTATCCAAACTAACTATCAGTCGGAAAACATTTATACCAGTGCCGTCCGTTTTCCACAAGTCTGTTGTATTAAAGTGACTTGCCTTTCGTACACCTACAAGATAGAAGAGACCTAAAAGAGCACGAATTTCATCAATGTTTGTTGGGTATCGATCGCGACTGAACTTCTGCTTTTCTGCTTCTATTTTTGTATTGGTCCCATCAACAATTATTTGCAGTAAGTATCAAATAGATTGAGCCAGATCTAAAATATCAGTT